GGGAGGGAGGGAGGGAGGGAGGGAGGGAGGAAGGAAGGAAGGAAGGAAGGAAGGAAGGAAGGAAGGAAGGAAGGAAGGAAGGAAGGAAGGAAGGACCTTTACAGAATCAGCTGACCTTTCAAAAAGGAAAAAAGTTATCCACAGCCTTCCGCAAATCCTGCCACACTTTCATAAATGTAAAACCTATCGGGTTGGATTCAATGGAGAATTTCTGCAGATTGGGGGGGACGACACTGGGTGTTTGTCACCAATTCTTCTCTCCCACCACAAGCCTCTGGCACTCCCCCATGTAGTTCCCCAGTCAACGAGCAGCATTTTTTTTTGGGGGGGGGGAGGTTGCAGCAGGACTGGGGAGGCAACAACGTCACATTCGATGAACAGAAATTCCCTCCTGTCGGTAGAAATCCTCCACACAATTCAGGCCTGTCATCATCTGTGCATTTTCCTCTGCCACGTTTCAAAGGTGAGGAGGACTTCTGCGAGCAAGTCACGCTGCCCTCCGGGGCCATTACTTCAGCCCAAGACGCCCATTTGGATGGCATCACCCTGGCCCATCTGCACAAACATGGCACTGTTTGATACCACTTTAGTTTAGACTACTTTTCCGTGTTCATCTGGCTGTCCATTGTGGGAAACAAACACCTGGAAATTGGGACTTCTGGGTCTGATCCAGCAAAGCTCTTCTGATGTTATCAACACTCACCGTTCCTCTCATTCCGAGTTTGGAAAAGGTGCCAAGAAATCTCCAAAAGATCCCCAGCTTCCCAAACGGAAGAACTGCTGCCCGCAAGATGTTCGTCACCTCACGCGAGGGACATCCATCCCCCTCCCGGGTCTGTGACTGCTGGCCAGGCCAAAGCCAGGCTTCGGCCTAGCGACTAACTGGTGGCAGCACAGTGCCAGAAGGGGACACCAGTCTCCCCCCTCCTTGCTGCTGTTGGCCTGGCCGGGGTGAGCCAATCCCCCCCTTCCCTGGTGCCACTCTGTTGCCCTCTTTATTGTGACCCCCTCAAGCAATCGTTTTAGAGGCTCGGCCAGAGACCCAACCCTGCTGGGGGGAGGACGCAAACCTGGTTCAAATTCAAACAGTAAATGAGACTCAAGGGTTACACCACTGTCTGTATGAATAGAGGGGATAGCCAGTGTGGTGTAGTGTTTGGGGTGTTGGAAGACCCAGGTTCAGCCACCGAAGCTTGCTGAGCAACCTGGGGCCAGCCACACACTCTCAGCCTAAGGGCTGCGAGGGTAAAATGGGAGAACAACGCAAGCCGTTTCGGTTCCCCACTAGAGAGAAACACGAAGTTAATTAACAGAAAGTGCCGAGGGGAAAAAGATGTGGAAAGCGGAAATCGTGTTCCTTCACTGAGATGGATGAAGGAGTGTGTCTGTCGATGTTTGGCTACCCAATAACCAACAACACATGACTCTTAAGACGTTGGCCATTGGTTCTGCCGAAGTTTAGATCACCCTCTTGTTGAGTCTGTGAGTACTTTTAGAATTCAGAGATCGGGGAATGCGGGCCACGTCAAAATGGCTGCCATGGAAGGCCAGGCCGGTCAGAAAATGGCTGCCATGCAGTACTGGGGCCAAGCACAAAATGTTGGGCAGTTGCCAGCTACTCATTCACCTTCTACGAAGACAGTTGTTTCTGGGTGCTGTTCAAAGGAGGTGCAGGAGAGCCAGGATTGGCTCTTTGTTTTTGGAAAGAGTAAATGGACATCAGGAAACCCACTGACCGGTGCCATGGTGCCCATCGGCACCGCATTGAGGATCACTGGTTTAAGAGGGCCTTCTTTGACCGAGTCATGTTGCCCGCAAATCCGAATCCGAGAGAAGAGGGCGGCTTCAGCTCCGAAATGGGTGCATTTCTCCACAATTTAGCAATGAGAACTCCTAAGGCGGGTGCCTGACTCTAGGCACCTAAATCCATATATAGGCACCCAAGCATAAATGGACCCACTTTCAGAGGACTGGGTGCCGCTTATATTTTAAGGTGCTTGAATATAAATTTAGGTGCCTACCTTTAGATTTCCAACTTGGGCACTCTCTGTTTTACTCTGACCTTTCCTGAGTCTCATTTTGTCCATCTGCAAAAAACGGAGGGGGAGAAGAACAAAACAAAAAACAAACATGGCTTAACCCTCTTTTGAGATCGGATTCGAGAGGGAGGGAGCACCGTGGGCGAAAGGAATAGATAAAATAAATAACCAACCCCCCCCTCCAACCAAGCCAACTAATGAAGACGGCAACAACGACGAAATGACAGGGCTCCATTACCACATTTCTTTTAATACGGTCAGATGAAAATGAAGGAGGGAAATGGCTCAGCCGACAGATGAAGAACCCAACACTGAATTGCTCTCATGCATTGGAATGGAGGGAACTACTACGAATCTAAAAATGCAAAAGAGGGGGGGGGGACGGGTTCACAGAACTCAAGATCAAACACACACACACACGTTTCAGCATGCACAAAAAATGCACCCCGCTGTGCTGTCCCATTAGATCCCAGAATGATGCACTTTCTGGCAACCGATTCCTGGTTTTCTTTTGTTTTTCTTGCATTTTGCAAAATGGCACCAGACTTGCATCAGGCCTACGCGCTGTCCCTTTCCAGTCAATGAGAAGCCAACAACCCCCACCCCACCCCAATATCTTTTGGTGAGACTGCAGGAACCGTGCCCTCTCCACCAGCAAAATGCAAACGCTACTTCCACTTCGACGTGTAAAGGGTGACACCAAATACAGCAGCACTTGGAGCCTCCCGATTTCACCTTCACCACAGTCCCTCCTTACCTCTTCTTTAATATTAAAACGTGAGGGCTCCTGTCTGCTGCGGTTTGACCTCCTCACCCCATAAACGTCAGGATATTCTTCCCACATCTGCAAAAACAAGCCAGACCTGTATTCTTTACCCATCCTTCATGCAAAGGTCTCAGGGGCTGCCCCATGAGTTTCCCCACGCATATTTCATTCTCACAACAGCCCTGCGAGGTAGGCCTGTATCTGACCGCTCCATTCGGCATCGCCTGAAGCTCTTCTCCACCTCTTCCCTCCAACTTAAGTGGGCTCTTCCGACAAGCAAAGTCGCTTATGTTGTGGGAAGGTTCCTGAAGGCTCTGGGCTTTGCTGAGGTAGAATACAGCAAACAAAGCCAAAATACTGTGTACAAAAACCAAAAGATGGGCGCTTCCGACAAGCAAAGTCGCTTATGTTGTGGGAAGGTTCCTGAAGGCTCTGGGCTTTGCTGAGGTAGAATACAGCAAACAAAGCCAAAATACTGTGTACAAAAACCAAAAGAATAAAGAAATTGTACAAAGCCGTTTACTCAAGACTCAATGTACATTATTATAAACTAGGGGAAAGGCCCGTTGTGGAAATAAATACAACGGCCTCTAGAAAGAGGCTCTGGGCGGGTACCCCGGCCTTGGACACTCAGTGTCAATTTGCTGTGGCGACCATTTTCTCCAGGGGAACTGATCTCTGCTACCTTCCACCTCCCACACACCTGCAGCCTCTCCCGTGCTCTGAAGCCCTGACTGCTACGTCACATTGGCTGTCATATGGGGGCCACCTCAGCAGCATATAAGGATACAGAGCCCACCATTTTCTCCAGGGGAACTGATCTCTGCCATCTGGAAAGCAGTTGTAATTCTGAGTGATCTCCAGCCCTCACCTGGAGATTGGACACATTTTACCTCAGAACAGCAAACTGTTTAGAATGTTAGAGGCAAAAGCCAATCAAGTCGCATATGCAAACGACCTCTGTGTTCCGAGGCAGAGGCCAATGAGGCTGCATATGCAAATAACCTCTGTGTTCTGACTGGCTATGGGGGGAGAGGAAGAGCAAACTGTTTAGAATGTTGGAGGCAGGACTCAGGCAAAGCAGCCAGTGGATAGGGAGACCCTTTGACTGACAGATCAGACAGCGAACTGATTTTGGAGCGTGTGGAATGTTCTAGAGAAGTGCCACCACCATTCGGCTTGTATTTATAAGGGAGATAGTATGTAGGAAAAAACCTCACATTGTTCTATGCAAATCATGTGTCCTCACTACAAACACCGTATCTCAAAATTATGTAACAATCCAAAATGAATCATAATCATAACCAGGGCTAAAAAAATGACCTGACGCGTTTCGGCCGAATCGGCCTTCCTCAGAGGTCATACAAATGTGGCTAGATGGTAAATAGTTACATTGTTCAGAAGGAAAATACCCAGGCACAGGGTAAATATGCGCATACAACCTTTTTAGTGCAATCACTAGCCCAGTAGTTATAAAATCAACCTATGGTCATGGCCTATAAAACCACTTCTTAGATTGTGTTGCCACAATGTTCACAAGTAAAAAGCCTGGTTATCTTCCTTCTGAACAATTTTCTTTATGGTCCTGATTGAATTTGTATTTTGTATATATTTTTGATTGTGTTTTTATGAATGTAACTATTTACCATCTAGCCACATTTGTATGACCTCTGAGGAAGGCCGATTTGGCCGAAACGCGTCAGGTCATTTTTTTAGCCCTGGTTATGATTATGGTTTATGTATATTGGTTGTAATTGGGCCCCTATATATGTTTTAATTTGATATTATCAATAAATACATGTACCTCTTTTTATAAATAGTTTTTATATTGGCCCTCCTTTCCACTAACCTTTGTTTGGTTTTGGAGTTCTTTGTTAGGTTTAGTTTTTTTTCCTTTTCTTGTTCCTGCTACAATCCAAAATGAACACATGCAAGTACAACGTGGCTTAGTGGTAGTGCTCAAATTTCCACTCACAGATTCATTCCTTTAATTGTACCAATTAATCACAAGGTATGAGGGGAAAAAACTCCCAAGTTCTTCAATAAGTTGCGTTCCATCACAGAATTCGTGTGAGATCAATGGCGCTTACTGCCCGTTTTTGAATCCTTTGTGAGAATCTTTCCTGTTATATAACTGATCGTTCGGATCCGCTCTTCAGAAAGCAATTGCCGAAATGCAATTTCCCGAAGCTAGCTACCGCATTGGGAGTCGCTGGAACCATTTCTTTGATGAATCTTCTACTGCTAAGCGGATCTGGATGGAAAGCAACTTATTGAAGAACTTGGGAGTTTTTTCTCATACTTTGTGATTAATTGGTATCATTAGAGGACTGAGTCTGAGTGGAAAAGGACAGAGTCTGAGTGGAAATTTGGATGCTACTATGGAGCCATGTTTTGTACTTGCATGTATTCATTTTGGATTGTTATATAATTTTAACATATGGTGTGTGTATGAGGTTACATAATTTGCATAGAATAATCTGGGGTTTTTACCTACATACCATTTAGAATGATGCACTCTGAGTCTTGAGCAAACGGTTTTGTACAATTTCTTGACTCATTTGGTTTTTGTGCACAGCATTTTAGCTTTGTTTGCCATTTCCTGCTGTGTTCCTCCCTGTATTTGTTGGAGGTAGAATACAGGCCTACTCGACGGGCCCATTGTAACTTCGGGGTACAGCAGGCATCTTAACCCAGGTCTCCCTAAATCTACCATCAGCCCCCATAAGCATTTCAGCTGCTCTCTGCAGCTATTCAAATCCTTTTACGGCAAACTGGTAATCACACACGTAAGGTTCACAGCAGATCCATGCAAATCAAACCCAGGCTTGGAAGAATTGTTCTTTCTGAAGCTGACTAGCAAGACAAGGGGAGTACGGTGGTCCGGGTAGCAGTTTCGAAGGTCCCCCATCCAAACTCACTCAGGATACAACTTAAGTCTGTGGCATTAAAGGCAAAGGGCTAGATCCTGCGGGAGGTGTTCTCCTCTGGCTCCTTCCACCACTTAGGAAGGCGCCATGGCTCGGGAACAGGACATCTCTTTTACACACCAGGTTCGATCCACGGCACCTCCAGTTAAAAGTACCAAGTAGCAGAGGATGTGAAATATCTCCATTTGTGACCCTGGAGGGCCGCTGACAGTCAGAGGAGGCAATACTGACCTTGACGGACTGATAGTCTGACACAGGACAAGAGAGCGTCACGTGTATGCTTGTGTGTGCCTCCACCAGCGGACCAGACTGCCAGAATGCATCCCACAAGTGTACAAGGAGCTGGCGTACCTTTTTGACGTCCGCTATCCTTTCTTTCTTGGAAGCCGGCTTCTCTTTTGCTTCGCGGGGCGTCTGCCGAGATTTAGAGCCCGTCGACTCGCTCTCCGACTCGGACTGGCTCTCCGAGGACTCCGAGCTGCTGTTGGACTCGCTCCCATGATCGCTGGCCTGCTCGCTGTCGGACTGGCTCGCCGAGTCGGATCCTGAGGCCTCTTCAGATGCTGAGTGACTAAGGATAAAGACCAGGGCGGTTTGTTACTGTCAAGGACTAGGACGTGGCACACACAAGCCATGAGCAGTGCTCCCTCTAAGCAGTGGAGTCTTGTGAGCAAAAATTCTACTTTGTGAGGAGGTACTGGCGTTAAAATTGTGGGCGAGTCATTTGGCTCCTGCATAAATTAGTTGGCCCTGGAGCCATCCTTCCTGAGCGAAGACAAAAATGGATGAGCCGGAGGAGAAAAAACTGTGAGCTGGCTCACCCTAACTCAGCTTAGAGGGAACACTGGCCAGGAGTGTGTGTAAAGTCATAGCCACCCTGTGGCAACCCCGCAGAGCTTTCAAGGCAAGGGGTGGCAGTTTTGCCCTTGCCTGTTTCTGTGTAGCAACCCGTGACTTCATTGGAGGTCTCCTATACAAGTACTAACCAAGGCCGACCCTGCTTAGCTTCCAAGAGCAGATGAGACCAAGCCGGCCTGGGCCATCCAGGTAAAGGCAAGAGATATACAGAGGTGGTTTGCCATTGCCTGATTCTGCGTAGCAACCCTGGACTTCCTTGGTGGTCTCCCATCCAAGTCCTAACCAAGGCTGACCCTGTTCAGTTTCCAAGATCTGATGAGCCCAGGTAAAGGGCAAAGAGACATACGGAGGTGGTTTTGACAGTGCCTGCCTCTGCAAAGCAACCCTGGACTTCCCTGGAGGTCTCCCGTTCAAGTACTAACCAGGGCCAATCCTGCTTAGCTTCTGAGATCAAGCTAGGCTGTGCCACCCAGATTAGGGACAACAGGAACCTGTGAAAACCAGGTGCTTTCTCAGCTCCACACCTACCCTGTCACACCTTCCATCAGCAGCGACCAAGTCAATTTTAGTTATGGCATGGGTTGGCGAGTGGTCAGGAAGGCAATGTTTACAAGTAACTGTGCTGGATTATGTGCTTCTATTCAAACAAGAAGAAGAGGAGGGGGAGGAGGGGGAGGAGGAGATTGGATTTATACTCCCCGCCCTTCACTCAGAGTCTCAGAGCGGCTTACAAACTCCTTTCCCTTCCCCTCCCCACAACAGGCACCCTGTGAGGTAGGCGGGGCTGAGAGAGCTCTGACAGAAACTGCTCTTTTTAAAGGACAGCCCTGACAGAACTATGGCTTGACCAAGGTCATCCAGCAGCTGCAAGTGGAGGAGTGGGGAATCAAACCTGGTTCTCCCAGATTAGAGTCTGCGCACCTAACCACTACACCAAACTGGCTAAAATTGTTTTGAATACGAGCTGGCAAACTTGAGTGTGGAGGAAAAGGGAGGAGGAGGAGGAGGAGATTGGATTTATACCCTGCCCTTCACTCGAAGTCTCAGAGCAGCTTACAAACTCCGTTCCCTTCCCCTCCCCACAACAGACACCCTGTGAGGTAGGCGGGGCTGAGAGAGCTCTGAGAGAACTGCTCTTTCAAGGACAGCTCTGACAGAATTGTGGCTTGCCCAAGGTCATCCAGCAGCTGCAAGTGGAGGAGTGGGGAATCAAACCCGGTTCTCCCAGGTTAGAATCCGCGCACTTAACCACTACACCAAACATGCACTAGATGACCCTGGTGGTCCCGTCCAACTTTATGATTCTATGGTTCCTTTATTATCTTGAGGATCTGGCCTCAAACTTACTTCCTTCAAAGGGCATTGTGTAATAAAATCTAGCTTCTCGTGATCCCCCCCCCCCCAAAGTCTGTGCAATAAGCATTGTCTGCTTTGCTAGTGAATCTAAAAAAATGGCGGCCAGGAGAACAATATCTTGATCGACTACACCTTTCAGAAGCTGATGAAGGAAACTGAATTTTAACACATCATTATCATCTGGCATTTCTCTGTCTACTACCTGCTGTAAAAAGATAGAAACGTTCCTAGGTAGCATAGGGGTGTCGTTCAAAAGATGGTGGAATTTGTGGGCATTGCAGGCTGTGGCTGGTTGGCTCAGGCTGAGTCGGCTGAAGCTAAGCCCGGCAAAGACAGAGGTTCTGGGCTTAGCTCGGGTTGGTTCAGGGCTGGGGCTCCTTCTCCCGGCCTTCGACGGGGTGCCTTTGGTGCCGGCGCCGAGGGTTAAGAGTTGATGACAATTATTTGAGGCAGCACACTTCAGTCTATCACTGACACAATGAGAGGTGTTCCTTCAGAAATCCATACATGCACACCCAGAAGCCTGACTCCCATGAAGAATCATGGGAGGGGGATTGATTTGGAAATTTCCCCCTTCAGAAATTCCCTCTATAATCTTTCAGGAGGTTGTCTCAGCTAATTTCCTCATCCTTTTATTTCCCTCTAACTGATTTTCAACTGCTCACAGCACACTGTATCACTGGAGTATATTCAGTCCTCATCAGGGCGGGGAGTGTGTGTGTGTTAAATATGCTGCTACCAGGGCCAGGGCTTTTTTTTGTGTGTGTGGTGGCTCCTACCTGGTGGAATGAGCTCCCGGAAGAGATCAGGGCCCTGCGGGACCCTGTACAGTTCCGCAGGGCCTGTAAGACAGAGCTCTTCCGCCAGGCTTTCGAGTAGGAGCCGCCGCCGTCACTGTACCACCATCACGTTGCCATCTCTGGTTATGCGAACTGGCCTTGGGAACGGAGAACGGACAGAGCGTAGACCAATCAAGAAGCGACAGCAGTACCTCTGAAACATTGCACTGGAGTCCCCGTCTTGGATGATATATTGTTGTGAGCACCGATTTTAGATGTATAATTGTAATCTGATTGTTTTATTTGGTTTTAGTGTTATGAATGGCAATTGCCTCTAGTTAGCCGCCCTGAGCCTAATAAATAAATAAATAACATTTGTGATTATAGAGGAAACCTGGACTAGGAATCTGAGGTAATTCTACTACTCCCCCCCCCCTTTCCTCCTTCAGGGATTCACACCAACACCTTCCTTTCACAGCACAAAAAAGTCAGTTCATTCAGCTCTTTCAACGCACAGTAGATGCACTTTTTGACTGGAATTTCACTGTGCGAAACGGCAAAATCTGCTGGCAAAGGATGGCTGAAGTGGGCTGGAGGTGAATTATTTGCCATGTGTGAAAGCGTCTTATCGTCTCTTCCTTAGAAGGGCTCGCTTGCTTCGTGATTTGGTGGAAAGGGACAAGATATCGATTGTTCACAGCCAGGGACAGCGGAACTCGGCCATCGACAGTCACAATTCCACACACAGCTTTGCAGAGCTGATGGGGTGTTTCGGTCAGAAAGTGAAGGAATGATTTCTCTTGGAACTCCTCCTGAAACCCAAGAATCTCAGTCTACTGAAACAGGGTCTGGTCTCTTGGGATATTTCCCCCAATCCTTTCATAAGACCCCTAAGCTTACTATTTCCCTCAGGTAACACAGGATTCCTGCCAACCTAGCAGTTTGAAAGCAAGAAATTGCAAGTAGATAAACAGGTACCACTTCGGTTGGAAGGTGACAGCGTTCCGTGCGCCTCGGTGTTTACTCATGCCGGCCACATGACCACAGAAACGTCTTCGGACAGCGCTGGCTCTTCGGCTTGGAAACGGAGATGAGCACCGCAACCCTAGAGTCGGACTCGACTGGCTTTCGAGCAAGGGAACCTTTACCTTTACCTAACACAGGATACCTGCCCTATTCCTGCCTTTTTACCAGCCCCTGAGCCCTGTTTACCTACCCTATATATGAGTTCTCTTCCTTCATCGGTCAAAGCTTAATTATATAGCTAACCCCCTAGTAGATTTCCTGTTTCTCGGTCGCTTCCCCGAACCCTCACTGAGGCCATGACAGACTTTAACTCCATTTATAACGCCCCGCCCCCAAAGATTCCACAGCCTCTCATTGGCTGCTTCAGTATGCCCACTCCCCTTGCAGGCAGGGATTGGCTAGGGTAACGGGGGGGGGGGAGAACTAGATGTCCCAGGTGGTCTCCCATCCAAGTACAAACCCAGGCCCGACCCTGCTTAGCGTCTGAGATCTGACCAGCTTGGGCGACCATTTCCGTTCGCAAACACGATTTAAAATCATCAAAGGCAGGGGGCAAAAAAAAAAAAGTTCGACAGTAAAAACCCTCACTTAGATGCTCCCCAAATTAAACGGCATACTAACTTGTTGCTATGCGCGTTAAAATACGGGACCTCAAACTGAATTAAGCCTTTACGCAACCCCACGGGGTCCGATGTTAGTTTCTTAAATATTTTTTATTTACGTTATTTCGGAAAACAACACAGAACCTACAGTTTATTCTTGAACAGCGATGCTCAGAACCTCGCAAAAGGACAGCACTTTACAGCCGGCAGCTTTGGAGATGGGTGTTGGTTAACGGATCGACATTCAAAGGTGATCCATCTTTCCAGGATCCCTTCCTGCTTTGATCTGCCCAGTTCTCCTTTATCATGTAAATCGCCCTCCTCTATTCAGAAATCTCAGAGGAAAGAGCCGGGCAGCAGCTACTGAGAAGACCAACATTCCCCTTGAGACAGATGCTAAATATCTCCTACGATATTTATAATTAGAGCACTGAGATTTCCCCCACCACCACCTCTCTCCCCCTCCAAAGTAAAGGCAACGTTCCATAAGTTCATAAAAGAGTCAGACGATCCGATTTTTAACCATTAATTTATTTCATTTCGTACCAACGTTTGACTTAAATCACACCTCGGCAAGCCAACGTGTTGGCTATCCAGCCCCAGTGTCAAAAAGCGTCATGTTGAAGGATAATGAAAGGCGCACTTTTAAAAGGACTGTGAAAAGGCCAAGTTCTTTCATCTGAGACACAAAGAAAAGAAAAGGAGCTGCGATGAAAGATATTTCCTCAGGAAGCTGGCAGAGGGCAGCAGTGAAACACTCCTCTGGAAAAGAAACCGCTCCAGAGGCACGGAGCCAATCTTCCAGGAGCCATTTTAAAACTATCCTCTGTGCTCAATGTTCCACCATCTTATGACCGGTGCAATGTTCCCTCTAAGCTGTGGAGTCCTGTGAGCAAAAATTCCACTTTGTGAGCTACTGGCATTAAATTTGTGAGCGAGCCATTTGGCTA